CTGCTACAGTAACAGCTGCTGTTAGGAAGAGAGCCACCATCCATCCAGAGGGAGCAGGGAAATAGTCTCCTGGAAAACAGAATAAATTAAGAATAAATTAGATAAATGTAGTGTCATTCTGTAGCGTTGCCATGGAAGCCAACCTCTCCCCTTCTCTCCTGTCAATCAGTGCTGGTTGCCATGGATATACAATAAAACAGGAGACCTGGATCACCTGGGCTGAGTCTGATCGTGCCTGTGTAGGAGATGTGGGCTTTTAATTTACTGTTGATTACTGTTTGATTGTAAATTGCAAGAGTACTTGACAACTTTTAAGAGCCAATCAAACATTATAATTTAGATCTCCACACCCCGATTCTAAATATACAAAATAGTTTGTTGATAAAACACCAACACACACATAACAAGCAAAAAATGTATTAGAATATACTGTATCAGTGCCGATCTGCTGCGATACAAAAGGCTAATTGTTCACTCGGGGATAACAAAGATCAGAGACCGAGACATGTTATTGGTTACCTTCTATGTTTTATCAGTCTCATATAATTAAATTACAGTATTACATGCACTACAGAAAGCACACTGACAGGTTACATCACAGTGTGGTATGGCAACTGCAGTATTGCTGACCGCAGAGCCCTACAGCGGGCGGTGGACACTGCCCAGTCCATCACTGGGGCTGCCCTCCCATCCATACAGGACATTGATGACAGATGGTGCTTGAGGAAAGCTCTGAGCATCATCAAAGACCCCACACACCCCAGCTACAGACTGTATGACCCTCTGGAAAATGGTACCGGAGCATCCAGGCCCGGACTACCAGACTCAGAGACAGTGTTTACCCCTGAAATATCAAACTATTAAACTCCCAGCCTCTCTCACCTACGATCTGAACCCTCACAATGCCTTCTCTCTTCATCAAAACTCAAACACACATTGAAATCTGCCTCTACCTCACATGTCAAGTCATTCACTCCCAATAATTTTCTATCCTTTATTTCATTCTGTTGATGTATGATTTTGCACATTGCCTGTTGTCTGTGTCTTTCTTTTCTTGCACCATTGTATTGTACTACTTACCGTCTGAGAGAGAGAGAGAGAGTAAATAGCATTTCGTTATACCATAGACCTGTGTATGAGTATGATGACAATAAACTTGAACTTGTTGAACTTCAGTCTTGAAATAAT